AGCAGGCTCTTCAAAGGGAGCCCCATGCAGGGGATCATGCCCTGAGCTGAAGGCAGACGCTCAACAGCTGAGCCACCTAGGCATCCCCAGATGCCACTTCCTAATACAAAGATCCAGTTTTCCAAGACAATCTAGACCCCTTACCAGTTACCTCTCCACCTACCATCAAGGCCGCAATCACCACATACAAAACATCTGCATCTACTTTGTAGCTCAGGTGGTCACGCCAGATGGCCTCTTACCCTCTGTTCCAAATCCTCTCATCCTGGTCTCGTGACCCATGCTTCTACTCTCTTGCCTCACATCCATACTTCATCTAACAACCAGCTTCCTTTGGATTAACACAGTAATGGGACTGTGTACCTAGCTTTCCATTTTGTTCTTTCCATTTGCCACCGTCTCTCAGGGCCCAGGCTTGCTCTTCTTCAAGAGACAAACCTGGACAGTGATCATGTTATTTACTTACCAAAAGCTCTATCAGTTCCCACTGTTTTTTGAAGGAAAAAAAATTTTTTTTTCAGCATACCATCCATGGCCTGCCAACTGTCTGATCCCATTCCCCGATTACCACCCCTACCAATGCAGCCTGATAATCTTGCCATTCTTTTCATTCTTCAAGATCTGACATGACATATATATCACTTCCTTGAAGGCTTCTTCTTTCTCCCTCTTTTGTAGTTCATCTTCATGCCCTGTTCTTCCATGTATTGCTTTCTACCTCTCTAGTGTTTTTTTTTTTTTTTTTAAGATTTCATTTATTTATTCATGAGAGACACAGGGAGAGAGGCAGAGACATAGGCAGAGGGAGAAGCAGGCTCCCTGTGGGGAGCCTGAATGCAGGACTCCATCCCAGGACCCCAGGATCACAACCTGAGCTGAAGGCAGACACTCAACCACTCAGCCACTTGACGTCCCTTACCCCTGTAGTTTTTTATGTACATGGTGGCTTCCCTCACACCTGATGTATACTCCCTAAAGGCAGGGACTGTGATTTAAGTCATCCTTTTAAGCACCATGCCACTGAGAACAATGCTGTGGGGAGTATCTCACACGTGGTAAGATCACATCATTCTGCTGCTTAAAACCTCCTAATGTCCCAGTGGCTTCCCATATCACTGGGTCCGTGATAAAAACTCCACATAGGCCTAAATGGTCTTTGATGATGGGAGTTCCTGCTACCACTCTTTTTTGCTCCTTACTGTTCCTGGAACACATCACACAAGATCTCACTTCAAAGGTACTACATTGACTGTTCCCTTTATTGGGATACCTTTTCCCCAGGTCTTAGCATGACTTGCTTTCTACAGTCCTCAGGGCTTCTCTCCAAGGCCACTTTCTCAGTGAGACATTTCTTGGCCACTTTGGTCACTTGGGACCTCACAGCCTTCTCTTTTCCTTGGCCCTGCTATCACTTCCTTACACAGTATATCTTTCATTCGTCTATTTTTGTGCTTATTTTCTGTCATCCTAGTTTAAATCTGTTGGTTTACTTCTTTAGCTCCAGAGAGATAATTCCTGATATACTGAAGGCTGTCAGTAAACATTTGTTGAAGGGGGGGGGGGATAAGCAAGTTAATAGAGGTGCCCAATAAATATTTCTTAAATTGAATGAAAACGTCACAAACACTTGACTGTGAAATCATCAAATCCTAAAAGTATGTGGGTTGAGGAGAACAGTGAAATTGAGCGAAAGCTGTCTCATTATAAACAACCTCCAGGAAGGATTAAAATTGGGTACTTGTGGGAGCGGCAACTGGGCCGGGAATCCAGTACCTTCGCAGAAACGCTGGGGGCTGCATAACTCCTCCCCCCACCCCCCGGGGACTGCATCTGGGAGGCCAGCTCGCCCTACCTCCCCATTTGGACGCTAGTCGATCACACAGGTGTTTGAAGTTATTTTAGGGTCTGCCTCTTTCAGTTTGCGAAGGACACGGAAACCTTGATGGGCTTTCGTGACACCTCTCAGTTCTAGGTAGGAAACTAGCCCGAGTGTAAACGACAACAAAAACACCGCTCCGGACTCGATACTGGGGTTTGGGGAAGCAGAGCCCATTTTAGAGCAGCGGGAGTGGAACTTTCTGCCTTTGCGACCCAAGCTCCGCCTTCACACTGTTTTTCTGAAAATGTTCTCCCTGGCTTATTACTCTTCCGCAGCGGCCCACTTTCCGCAGGGGGATGGCGCTCTGATGTGCACATTCCCTCTTCCCTTGGGGGCTCCATAGTATTTTTTTTTTTTTTTAATTTTTTCACGCTTCGACGCTACCGCTGCAGACGCCTGCCTTCTCATTATTTGCCCTACGGATCTCCGATCTCCGGTGCCCGGACTGTAAACAAAACACTTTAGATCATAGCAAGGTCGATGTAAGCACAGCCTTTCTGCTGGCAGCCAGTCGTCTTAAGGTGGCGTGACTGTGACTCGTTTACTTTGCAAGATTAACAAAGCAACAAAATGGTGTTCCTACATGTTACTTGCAGAAAGATTCAGGGTGTGTAGGGGACAGGAATATTAATTTCCTATCATTACTTGAGATATTAATTCCACGAATAAAAGGTTAGTTGTATGTTGTGATACTCTAGAATATCTCCATTTACATAATATGTAAATAGTTTCTGTATTTAGACATCTGAATTTATTCTTATATATAACATAGAATTCCTGTGTAGTCTAGCAGCTGTGTAAAAATGTCAACAGGAATCTAATTTCAGAAATAGAGTATAAATCATGGTATGGAGGCCTACCCTCATTTTCCTGTCCTTCTCCCCCCTCCTCCAGTCCAATAAGTTAAATAGCATGTTCCCTGTTAGAAAAGGATGAGAGGTGTTACTTGGATCACAGGTGAAATATCTTTGTCAATTACGTAGGCAGTCCTGACTTAGAAACAAGTTTTGGACACTGCCTCTCCCTCTCTGCTCTCTGGGTATCACCCTTGTCCGTTTGGAATCTGCATTTTAGTTGAACCTAGTGCATAGTGATACAAAAGGCCAGTGACAGCTGCATATAAATATCAGTGACCACAGGCCACATCAAGGAAACATCTGCAGGCAGCCCAGGGAATGAGCAGGGGCCATTTTGAATCCCTTGTAAGAGAGGAGGACCAGCCAGACTGCAGCACAGGCCAATCCAGACAAAACCTGAACCATTAGGAAAGAAAGAAAGAAAGAAAAAGAAAGAAAAGAAAGAAAGAAGAGAGAGAGAGAGAGAGAGAGAGAGAGAGAGAGAGAAGAAAGAAAGAAAGAAAGAAAGAAAGAAAGAAAGAAAGAAAGAAAGAAAGAGAAAAAGAACCTGCCTGAGAGTTAAGGAGACCCGCCTCTAGCCCTGGCTCTGCTATCCACTGGATGTGTGTCCCTGGACAGGAAACCTCTCCTGCTCTCAATTTCCTCAGTGGTAAAAAGAGAGGGTTGAGCCACAGGGTTCAGAAGGGCCATGCCAGCTCTTACATTCTGGAGTGCTGAGGTGAGGCACGCACACAGAATGGAACACACAATACGTGGTTAAGAAAACAAGTTAAGAATCAAACTCATCTGTAGCATAGATGCATAAGAAAACATTGCTGTGCTGTGCACTATTAGAACAGAAGGAGAGCAGTTTCCAGTAAAATGTATTAACTTTGGCCCAGACCAAGATTATATGTATGGGGGTGGGATGGGGTGGTGTGGGGAGACAGTACAAGACCCTTTGAGCTGTGTCTCGGATAGGACAGCCCTCCCCCCTCCCCATACCGTGTTAAGTCCTATCATCCTGCTCAGGATCAAATCGATAGGTCCTTTCAAGTTGGAAAGTGGAGTAAAGAAACGCCCAAGTAAGAATATCAGACGTGAGGACACGGTCGTGGTGGGTTTATGAATCATTTCATAATCTGGACTTTCCGATTACTTTCACCCTTCAAAGACTTGCAGCCCTCTAAAGGCATTCCCTTGCATCTAAATTTTGTTGTGGGAGGGTTGGAGCAGTGAATCTGGTGGGAGAGAAAGGTGGAGGAAGGAAGGAGCTGTTGTATTTGGCGGCAGGACTCAGGTAGAGGAAGCTGCTACAACCCGGGAAAGAATTGAACACTATAAAGAGGGGACGGGTTCCCACACGCAGCCCAGGTCAATGGCTTTCACTGTGCTCGGGAAGCAAGAACCTGGGTCAGGGTGTAACCTCGCTTTTGAAACCCAAGTGTGTCTGAGGCAGCTACAAAAGTTTATTAGGGACTTGGGAGGCCAGTGGAGTTTTTGATCTTGAAATTCTTATTTTTATTGCGGGGAGAGCTTGGGTTCAGACTACATGAGAAGTGCTGCGCCTACGTTCGCCTTGGCGTCTTCCCAGAGCTCCCGCCTCCCCTAGAACAGCAGAGCCTCCTCCTAGGTTCAGAGGGAGCTAACCACTGCTCCCCGCTAGCAGAGGCACCCAGGTCGGGGTGGGGGTGGCGGCGGCGGCGGGGGCGCGGCTCCCGGCCCCTCCGCGAGCGCCGAAGGCCGCCCAGCCTCCCCGCAGCGCCGGAGGGGGGGCCCCCGCGAGAGCGCAGCTGGGGGCGCAGAGCTCCCACCGCCGGCCTCCGCCCCCCGCGGCCCGCACCCCCGGCTCGGCGAGCGCGGGGAGGACGAGGTCGCCACCGGGCCACCTAGGAGGTCATCTGATCCTGCCCCCTCCGTCTCCCCGCGCGCGGAGCGGGCGCGCCAGGCAGCGCAGCGCGGGGACCTGAACCCGAGGCCCCGCCGCCCCCGCCCCCCCCCCCCCCCCCCCCGGCTTCCCGGCCGTTCGGCTGGTTTGTTTGTCTCGCTTTTAATTTCTCCGAGGCCAGCCGGAGCAGGTTTGCTGGCAGCCGCGCACCTCCGGCAGTCACGCGACCAGGCAGGCTCCGGGCGGCGCAGTCGGAGGCGGGCGGGCGCGCGCCCGGGGAGGCGGGGCGGGGCGGGGCGGGGCGGGGCGGGGCGGCCGGGAGGCGTCGCGGCCGCGCGGGGCCACCTTAAGGCCGCGCTCGCCAGCCTCGGCGGGGCGGCTCCCGGCGCCGCGACCAATGGATCTCCTCCTCTGTTTAAATAGACTTGCGGTGTCAATCATTTTCTTCTTCGTCAGCCTCCCTTCCACCGCCATATTGGGCAACTAAAAAAAAGGGGGCTCGTCCTTTCGGGGTGTTTTTCTCCCCTTCCCCTGTCCCCACTGCCTCGCCGCTCCGCGACGCCGACGTCCGCAAGGTTTGGAGAGCCGCTCGGTTGGCGCGACCCGCGGGCTCGCAGCAGCCCGGGCTTGGACCGGCTCTGCCGCCCCCTCCTCTCCCCTCCTCTCCTCTCCCCTCCTCTCCTCTCCCCTCCTCTCCTCTCCCCTCCTCTCCTCTCCCCTCCTCTCCTCTCCTCTCCTCTCTCCTCCCCACCCCTCCCCTCCCCGCCCTCCCGCCCGCCGGTCCTCTAGAGCGGCGGCGGCTCTCGGCTGCGGGCCGGGGCTTCCCCTCACCCTCACCCTCACCCTCACCCCCACCCCCCACCCCTCCCGCCTCCCCCGAGCCAGCGCGCCCCTGACGCCCGGGCAGTTTCTTGTGCGTGTTTGTTTCTCTTGGCTCCGAGCGCGATCGCAGGGCTTCATAAGGGGGGGTTCGGGCTGGGTCGGGGCGTCTTGTTTTGTTCAGTTTTGTTTTCCGAGAGAGGGAGAGAGCGCGCGCGCTCGCGGCGGTCGTGCAGACCGGGGAGGAAGATGTCAAACGTGCGAGTGTCTAACGGGAGCCCGAGCCTCGAGCGGATGGACGCCAGACAGGCCGAGTTCCCCAAGCCCTCCGCCTGCAGGAACCTCTTCGGCCCGGTCAACCACGAAGAGTTGACCCGGGACTTGGAGAAGCACTGCAGAGACATGGAAGAGGCGAGCCAGCGCAAGTGGAATTTTGATTTCCAGAATCACAGGCCCCTGGAGGGCAAATACGAGTGGCAGGAGGTGGAGAAGGGCAGCTTGCCCGAGTTCTACTACAGACCCCCGCGGCCACCCAAAGGCGCCTGCAAGGTGCCGGCGCAGGAGAGCCAGGACGTCAGCGGGACCCGCCAGGCGGGGCCTTTCCTGGGGTCTCAGGCTAACTCAGAGGACACACACTTGGTAGACCCAAAGACTGATGCGCCCGACAACCAGACGGGGCTAGCGGAGCAGTGCACCGGGATAAGGAAGCGACCCGCGACCGACGGTAATGACCCCTCCCCCAGCACAGAAGGTCTGGGTGCCCAGGACCCCAACCGCAGCTTGCTTTTCCAGAGTATTCCGACGTAGTGGAGGTGGGTGGGGGGAGCGAACTGCCCTCCTCTTAGGTTTTAAGTGCTTGTCCGCCTGGCTGCTTGTCTGTTTATGATTTTTAAGTCAGGAGCCTGTTTTTAAGTCAGTGAGATGCTGTTATCTGATCATTGCTCCAACCGAAAACATCGCAGTTCCTCCCGGCTGGCCAGCGCTGGGTCTGTGACTACGTCGGGATGTTTATCAACGGCCTCCCTCTTTGCAGTGGAGAGGGAGAGAGAGAGACAGAGACAGAGACAGCTCTAGGGGCATAGAATACACTTTCTGTTATGTGAAAACAACCTCATTCTGTGCCCTTAAAGGCCACCGGGAATGACGGATCCAGGATGGTGGGTGGAGGTGTGGGTTTTTCATCCCCTGACTATTGTGCCAACTTGTGTCAGCCATTGTTTTTCTAATAAAGATTGTGTGTGTTCTTTTTAAAATTCCCTCTTGCCCTTAGATTCCTCTCCTCAAAACAAAAGAGCCAACAGAACAGAAGAAAACGTCTCAGACGGTTCCCCGAACGCGGGTTCAGTGGAGCAGACGCCCAAGAAGCCGGGCCTCAGAAGACGGCAAACGTAAACGTAAACTGCTCGGTGGGTTGATGACTAGGAGCAAGAAACTGACACTCCGAAATGGGCTTTCACACCCCCAGATACCCAATCTTGGTGGTTGCTGGCAGAATGGAGCTTGTGGGTTTTTGTTTCTATTTTGTGAGGTGGAAAAATAGGAATGGGGAAGGCTGGGAATCACTGGTGGGGATCCTGTAATTTTTTTCACACTGTCTACGTCCTGAGGTCATTTTTCCTTGAAACACGGAATAACCAGAGCAAGTGTCCTAGCCAAAGTACTTGTGACCGAGACTGGATGATGAGTGGGAAGGTCAATTCCCTGTGAATCCCACCAAAACCGTTGGGAACAATAGGTTCTTTCCCCCCATCTGAGCAAGAACTGGCATATGCCTCAGTCCCACTTCATAAGAATTCATTTCCCAGAGGTTTCAAGTTGAGTCAGTAACAGATTTTGAGCCATACATGGGAAGAAGGCAAATAAATGATAAAAGTTAAAATTTGAGGAAAAGGGTGCAGATGGCTCATATTTGGTTGATCCTATGGTTAGTAGTGTGAATAGTGAGGTACGTCACATGATCTTTATCATTTTCATAAATTGTCACTTTCCCTGTTTGCTTACAAATTTGGGGAACAGGAAAGGAACCCTGTGTATTTTTATTTTTATTTTTTTAAAAAGGAAAGCTATAGTATGGAAAAATACTAGGGGTTCCTACAGAATTTCTGATAACACTGAAGTTGCAAAGCAGAAGTTAAATTAACTCTGCTGGAGTAAGCAGTCCAGGAACACGTCACCATGTGTATGCTAATTGTGCTACAAAAGGATCATTTGTATATTAGTAGGGAAATGTATAGTAGATACACGGGCTGGCGAGGGTAGGTCTACCCCACACTGGAGAAGTGGAGATTTTTTTCCATCTACTTAAATCTGATCAGTATGAACAGCTAATTTGAATAATTCAGCACTCAACATTTCGTAGATTGGCTAGCCATAGTGATCAAAGTGCATATGTTAATAGTTTGAAAACTTACCGACGAGGACCATGACCTCTTTTTTTTCCCCCAAAAAACACACTCATAGCTTCGCGTGTAGAGATTTTAGTAGATGTTGATACTAATTTTCAAAATCCTCATTTATAAAAAGGTAAGAAATAAAGAACATAGAGTTTAAGGCGAGATTCCAGTTTGCTGTGTTTTTAGACCATAGTAACATATATATGACTTTTTCACCCACATCTGACGGTTTTCAAAGCTTATACAAAACATCACTCTGTAGAACCTCTATATTACAGTTGTATATGAAATGGGAAAAGTGTATGAAAAAAAATTTCTGAAGCAACCTGCAGCTTGGGACTTGTGGTTTTTGACCTGTAGCTTAGCTCATCAGATGAGCCACTGTGAATCGCACCTACTGGATTTTGATCTGACCCCATTCTGACATAGAGAGGCATTTGTTAGTAAATATGGCCAGTTCAGAGAATTCTAGAAATAGTAGTTAAGAACCTATTCAGAAGCATTCATTTGTATATTTTGCATATGACTAAGAAACTAGAATGTTTTGAAAAAGTATTAATAGAATTTTCTTTAGAGAACGTTTATGAGTTAGAGTTCCGATTAGTTTTCAGATTTAGAAGACTCAGATGCTCTTGAGTATTACAGTTTCTTAATTCTCCTCTCTTTCTTAGTATCTTTGACCCCGATTCTCTAGACGAGGGTTTCTCAACCTCTGCACTATTGACATTTTGGGCTGAATAATTCTTTGTGTGGGACGCCATCCTGTGCATTAGTAGAATGTTTGGCAGCATCCCTGGCCTCTACCCACTAGATGCCAGTAGCACCCTCCTCACCCCCAGTGTGACAACCAAAAATGTCTCCAAACATTGCCAAATGTACCCTGGGGGACAAAACTGCCCACTGTTGAGACCCACTGCTCTCAACAAGAATACACACACACACACACACACACAGGAGAGTAAAAATCCAGTGAAGGAAACATTGGATGGAGAAGACTGTAGTCATCAACTTTTAGTACACACTTTCTTTTCCATTGCTCAGGTATTTCACAACTAAGAGAGTAACAAAAGAATTCCTCTACTTTATTGATAATGTTATTCTGGTGCTTTTCTCCTAATTCCTTCTTCTTTTTTCTTCTGCAGAATTAAGAGCATGTTTCCTTGTTTATCAGATACATCACTGCTCGATGAAGCAAGGAAGATATAAATTAAAAATTTTAAATACATATCGCTGACTCCATGGAATGGACATCCTATATAAGCACTGAAAAACAACCAACACAATAACACTAAAATTTTAGGCACTCTTAAATGATCTGCCTCTAAAAGCATTGGATGTAGCATTGTGCAATTAGGTTTTTCCTTATTTGCTTCATTGTACTACCTGTGTATATAGTTTTTACCTTTTATGTAGCACATAAACTTTGGGGGAAGGGAGGGGAGGGTGGGGCTGAGGAATTGCCATGGGGGGCTATGAAGAGCTTGCTTCCATTTAGAGCAAGGAGAAAAGTATATGACTTGCATGGAGAGAAGCAGTTTGGGGAAGGATTTGAATTGTTTTCTTTAAAGATGTAATGTCTCTTTCAGTGAAAACTGGTAATTCATTTTAAAAAATCATCCGAATTTGAACACTGGTTGCAAATAATTGCTAATTATTTTTACATGAAGCTTTTTCTTATTTGGGAGCTCAAAGATTCCGTTATATAGTAATAAATGGCTTTTTTTTCTTTAACAGCAAAAACTATCTTCAGTACTCTACCCCCCCCACCCCCCCATCCCCATTTTTTCATAAAATCGGAATTTACCAGTTAATTATTCAGCAGTTAGGTAATCATTCCAGGTAATTCTGGGCAAAATTCTGGGGTATATATGTGTGTGTGTGTGTGTGTGTTGGGGGGGGATGGTAATTCTGAATGCTCAGAATCAACCATCTAATTTTTATCAGGTTTATTGAGAAATTTTCTTTGGACTTTGGGCTATGTAGACACAGTCAAAATAATTTTAAATCTTGGGAAAAATTTTAAAGATCTGTAACTTCACACAAAAAAAATAATGAAATAATTTTTAATTTAAAGCTTCTCGTTCTATTGGTTAATTTGCCCAAAGGAAATGTTTTTAAAAGAAAGTGTGTATAAAGAAAAGCACACGTGGAATTACTGAAATGGATACTACATCTTTAAACAGTATTTTTACATTGCCTGTGTATGTGTATGAAACAAAACCAGTTGAAGTGTACCTGTGTACATAACTCTGTAAAGACACTGAGAAATTATACTAACTTATTTATGTTAAAAAGAGATTTTTTTTTTTAATCTAGACCATATACAAGCCAAAGTGGCATGTTTTGTGCATTTGTAAATGCTGTATTGGGTAGAATAGTTTTTTTCCCTTCTGTTAAATAATATGGCTATGCTTAAAAGGTTGCATACTGAGCCAAGTATAATTTTTTGTAATGTGTGAAAAAGATGCCAATTATTGTTACACATCAAGCAATCAATAAAGAAAACTTCCATAGCTATTCATTGAGTTGAACTGTAATGTGCTTTATTAAGCTTGGGGTATTTGACCTGGCATACTAGTCATACTTGCACAAATATAACACAAAGTAGCAGATATCTTGATAATTTAGGCCCACCCACGTCTGAGATGATGTTTATGTGGCTCTGAATATAGTAGTCACTGTTTTCCACTTAGGAAAGTGCCACTTTTGGGTGGACAAAACTTTAGACGTGTAAAGTGGAAACGCCACATTTTCATAAAAGATTGTCAAATCTCCAATAGTTCAAATATTTAGGTCTTAATAGGGTATGTATCAGAACCAAAGATTTTTACACAAGTGTAGGCTGATCACACATTTGCAGGATTGAAAATGAAAGTAACATGGTGACTTCTCTAAATTCTGTATTTACACACTGCAAGTGTGAGAAATTAGAGCAATTGTTCAGACCATCTAATCTACACCTTTGTCCAAAATATTTATATACGGGTCCTTTAGAAATTTGCATGCATTACACACTAATTTAGATAGAACAGGTATTCTCCAAATTAAACTGGTCATGACAAATCACTCAATTCCGAAATTTCCTGGTTATAATCTACACCACCTAAAACTGGTTAATCTCAATAACCAAATCTAAGCGTTTGGAGCCCCACATCCACATGGCAGAGATATTTTTTACTTAAGAAAAATTTAAGGCATTTTCAAGTCAAATTTTCTTTAAAAAAGAAAAACAAAAACCCAAAAAACAATTACTGTTACTTCACTCTTACAAATGTAGCTAAGGTGTAAAAAGTAAATTATTTTTTTCTAGGAATCTGCAGATGGTTAAATCATGAAAATCTGAATTTGGGTTAAGCAGTTCCCGTCAAATACCTGAATTTACATTATTGCACCCCAAAGGGGGCTCTAAACAAGATAGTTTCAGCTTATTTTGATCTGAAGTTACTTTCAAAAAAAAAGAAAAGAAAAGAAAAGTGACTCTTCGGCTGCGGGGAAGGGAAAGGAAGATCATTTGGTGACGGGGCTACATCTTCCAAGTAGGTATTATTTCAATTAAAGGCTAAAGGTGTTTTTGTGATTCTACTCAAAACACGCAGACGGGGTGTTTTTCAGGAAGATACTGAAAAGGCAAGAAAAACAAAATGGGGAGGAAGGAATGAGAATCAGGAAATAATGAAATCAAATTAGTTTCTCTGAACCAGAGAGTACTTCTAGAAGTGTTTCTAACAGAGGAAAAAAAATCCTCTTAATTGCTGCCTGCACCCCATTTTCCTTTCCTCAAGAGGCATCTCCGATGTGAATTTTTAGAGACTGCGTGTTAGGAGCGCTGGGCGAAGAAGTGGATGCTCGCCGCGCCAGGCACGTTCCCAGGGACGCAGCCCCCGGAGTCACCGGGGCGATCCTTTACACGTCTGGGTCAGCTCTCCAAGTGCGTCCTCGGGTCCCGAGCGTCCTCTCCCCGGCCGCGGACGGCGGGGCTGGCTGCGGGCGTCCCTAGGCGGGGATGCGGCCGCCGGCACCAGCCCCAGCCCCAGCCCCCACCCCGCTGCCCGGGGCAGTGCGCCGGCGTCTCCGCAAACTGCCCCGAAGCCCCGCACCCGCCCGCCCGGGCCGCTGCGGGGGTCGGGCAGGCTGGCGCCCCCGGGACCAGGAGCCCCTCGAGTCTCGCCTCTCCGTCCGCCACTTGCAGCGCCCACGCCGGCGGGGCCGGTGCGCGCAGTTCCCGCGCCCGCGGCGCCCGCAGGCCGTGCAGGGCGGCTGCGCCCCGGCCCGCGCAGCGGCGCGGGGCGGCTTCTCACCGACTTTGCTCCCTCATCACCTCTCCGCTGGGTTCAGGAAGAAGCGGAAGCCCCCGCTCCTTTCCACAGGCAGACCCTGCACACCAGCACCTTGCCGAGTCTCGGGCGGTGGCGGGCTGGGGAGCTGAGCGAAGGGGAGAACCTTCCCGAGTCCGTGGGCCCTCCTGGGCAGCCGCCCGCTCCCGCTCCCGCTCCCACCCCCACCCTGGGCTCCAATGATCCGCAGCCCCGCGCATTTCGAAAGGCCTCCGGGCTCGCGGGCGGCCGGGGAGGACCGCAGCGGCGCGCAGGAGGGGCCGAGCGCCACCGCCGCTTGCGGGGTCCCTTCCAGCCTGAAAGCCGCCGGGCAAAGCTCCCCCCACCCCCCATCGCATCCCCGGCTGTCGAGCGCGGGGCACCGGGGCAGGGAAGAAATGGGAAAGCGTGGGGCTGGGGGCTATGACTGGAGGACGGAAGGGACCGCGGAGATCCACACGACGGGAGCGGGGCAAGCGGCCTTTCAGGCCACCGTGCGCCCACCGCCCCGGCCGCGCCGGGAGACCTTCCTCCGCGTCCGCGCAGCGCTGCCTTCGCCATTTCATCTTCATCATTGCGAGCGTGCGCACTTGCTGTCCGTAAGCTTCCCTCGGACTGAAAAGGTGCTTTAAAAGCACATCTGGGGTCGTCAGTGTTTCCCCGAGTGTGCGTTTCTTTTTAAAATGTGCCAGTTCTTTCACCTGAGCCACACCCTACGCCCGCTCCCCTCCCTCCCCGCCAACATCGAGGTAAAATCCTGCACACGCACTGGGGAGGGGGCAGGGAAGGAGGGCCCACGGCCCCGCGAGACCCCCCGCCCCCGCCCCCGCCCTGGGGCGTGGGGAGAGCCTCCCGCATCTCGGCTCGCGTGGGGGTGGGGCGGGGCGGGGTGGGGTGAGCCTCAGGCAGACCCTGCAGAAGCGAAAGTGCAGCGTTTGCGCGGACACCCAAGTCCCCGTGCGGCCGTCCGCGTCCCAGGCCCGTCCCGCGTGGGGACGTACAGGAGGCGGTTCTCGGAAAGCGCAAACTACAAAAATAAACGGGTGCGTGTTGGGCGCGAAACGTCCACGCGCCTCAAAGGAACGCGAAGCCAAGGCAGCGAGCGGGCGCGCGGCGGGGACGCGGGGCCGGGGGATTGCATCATTGCAGCTCCCCCTGCAGAAAATGGGCTCCGGACCGCGGCGACCATCATGGCGCTCGGGTCGGGCCGCGCTTCCCGCGCGCCTTCCCCGAGCGCTCGGGCCGCGGGCACCGAGCCCCAAACGCGCGTTTTGCAGACCTTGCCCCCCTCCCCCTCCCCCTCCCCCGGGCGCCTGCCCCCCCGCCCCTCCTTCCTTTTGTGTGCCTCTGTGTGTGAGTGCGTGCGTCCGTCTGAGTGTGTGTAGGACTAGAGAACTTGAAGATTTTTTTTTTTTTCTCCTCTTTTTTCCCTCCCGTGCTGGTGGTTGTAAACTTGATTGGCATTGGCTGCGCCCACTGACCCCTGCGCCGAGTCCACCGAAGATTTAAGGTGGATCCAAAAGGCTGCAGCTTCAGGCGGAGTCTCGCGCTGTAGCTGGTTTGGGAGGAAAGGGAGGAAAGAGGAGGAAAAAAAAAAAAAAAAAAAGCCCAAAACCGTGCGCCCGGCGCGTTTTCCCGAATCCCCTGCGGTACCAGCCCGCGCGCCCGCCCCGCCCGCCGCGCTCTTCCTCCGCCCACCTCCCGCTCCTTCCCCATTGGCCCGCCCGAGCAGTTTGAATTTTTTTTTTTGGATGCTTGTTTTCTCGTAAAAAAAAAAAAAAAAAATACAGTCCCTCGCATCGTACCACGGAACCCACTTTGGCGGCCCGAGGTGGGGTGTTTTAGCTGGATTTGGGGAGAGGCGGGTGGGCGGAGCATCTGTGCCAAAATTTTGCCCGGGAGTGCGGTTGACATTGTGCAGGCGGGTGGGGGAAGCGTGGGGCCGCGGTAAACAAACGGAGAAGCTTCGGCGGGGGCAGAGCTGTAGTATAAAACGTTAATGGGTGTCCAGGGCGCGCCGTTTCCCCGGCTGCCGGCCAGAGGTGCTAGGGAAGCGCTGACAGGAGCCCGGGAGAGGAGGATGCACCGTCCCCCGCCTTGGAAAGGTAGACTTGGGGAGCGCTGGGGCTGGGGGTGAAGGTGGCCCGGAAAAGAACACCTCCTCTCAACCAAGGAAGGGGGGTGGGAAGAGGAAAGAAACCGACTGGGGAGATGTAAATATAGCTCAGGTCTATTATCTCAAGCGCTACTCAGCTAGAATCCATCATAATTCAGCCAGTCGCTGTCATTTTTATTGGATTTTTTTTTAAAGTTTTCTGTCTTTGATGCCCAGAGGTTTTTTTTGCTTAAGGCAAATGTGAAAATAAAATTGAGGAAAAAGGGAATATGACTTTTAAAATGCCTTTGATTTCTGCGTCTGGAAATTAAATCTTTTGATGAAGTCCTTTAAGATTTAGGATAATATTATTTGTATTACAGGTCTAATAGAAATGATATCCCTTACTAATTGTAACCCAATTATGTTTTACTGTGCTGTGAAATTCTCAGAAGTTTATGATTCAAAGTATTCTTCAAATCACTCTGTCTTCAGATTAGTGAAGCCAGCATATATACATATGTTGTGGGGGTCTGTTACTCTTCCTGCAGTGTAGCTAACGATTTTAACCAGACGTACAGCCCAGCCTTCAGCCCAGTCCTAAGAGTTACTAACTTCCCCAGCCATTTTTTAGTTAATTCCTCCAATCCTTCCTGACCCAACTAACCCTATGTTTACTCAACCTAACAAAGCTCCTGCGACCACCGTAAACCAACCCACCTGTGCCCTTGGTGAGGTCCTCCAGATGGACTGGCAGTCTCGGGAAGTAATGAGTTCCTCATCCCTGGAAGTGTGAATTGGGCACTAGTCTGGATGACCCCTTGATAAGGACATTGTAGACAAGGGCCATATATCAAGTGAGTGTGAGAACTAGTTCCTTTCAAAGTCCGTTCTAAATCCTTGAGATACTGTATTTCCAATCTTGAATGCTATGGATATCCAGTAAATTAAGCAATTTTCCCTGGTGATTACCATTTCTAGAGTTGTACTGTCTGGTATGGTAGCCTGCCAGAAGCCGGTGTGGCTCTTGAGCTTTTGAGTATGGCTGTTCCAAGTTGAAATGCGCTGTAACTGAAATATACACCAGGTTTCCAAGAATTAGTATGAAAAAGAATGTTAACTATCTCAATAATGTTTATATCGATTACATGTTGAAGTGATAGTATTTTTGGTATATTTGATTTAATAAAAATGTTTAATTTCATCTGTTTCTTTTTACCTTTTTTAGCCTGGTTAAATGGACAATTTTAAGTTGCATATGTGACTCCCATTATATTTCTCTCTCTTTTTAAAAGATTTTATTTATTCATGAGAGAGAGAGAGAGAGAGGCAGAGACACAGGCAGAGGGGGAAGCAGGCTCCATGCAGGGAGCCCGATGTGGGACTCGATCCCGGGTCTCCAGGATCACACCCTGGGCCAAAGGCAGATGCTCAACTGCTGAGCCACCCAGCGTCCCTCCCATTATATTTCTATTGGACATTGAACACCTATGTTCTACACCAACACCTTTGCTAACTTGAAGCACTGTCTTTGAGAGTGGTAACTAATAATACTGAGGAGTAGCTGGTAACTTCCAGCTGCCATTCTAACTTTCCAACTGAAATCGTGGCCCAAACAGCCTCTGGAAACTTTAAAAAGAAGTCTGCCAACACCTAACACCTACTATTTCATCTTTAACACTTGGTATTGGGTTTGAGCCCAGACTATGGAAATATGGTACAGATATGTGTCAGATTAAATCAGACTTGATAACAGCTTTCCACATTATGTAAACAGAGCAGTCCAATATGTTAGAAATGACCCTGGAAAACAATTTAGACTCCAAACAAAGTGTCCACAGTAGCTTTTCACCACCACCACCACTCTTCAGTGGATAGGAAGGCAGTGGGCAGACAGAGCAATGTTCTCTCTGTGGATATATCTCTAGCAGAGGACTTCAATAAATGAAATTGTGTGCCATATTCTTGGATAGAAATACTCAATGTGATAAAGATGGCAGTTAAATTTATACTTTAAAAAATTAGGGATCCCTGGGTGGCGCAGCGGTTTGGCGCCTGCCTTTGGTCCAGGGCGCGATCCTGGCGACCCGGTATCGAATCCCACGTCGGGCTCCCGATGCATGGAGCCTGCTTCTCCCTCTGCCTATGTCTCTGCCTCTCTCTCTCTCGCTGTGACTATCATAAATTAAAAAAAAAAAATTATACTTTTACACTAAATTCTGGTAAGTTCTGATTATCCTATTCCATTGTTCTGTCAGTTTATGTATTTAGGACTATATTACTTTAATTACTGCAGATTTAGAGTTTTGTCTTAATTTCTGGTAGCACTAATTCTCCATACCCAACCATTCCCTTTACTCATTTTTCCCCCCCCAGAATTTTCCTGGCCCATTTTGCTTGGCTTTTTTCCCATTTAGATTTAAAATGAATTTGTCTAGTTGGAAATATAATTTTTATTGGCATAAAAAAATGGATTGGGATCCTTATCTCATACTTTACACTAGGATCAATTCCTGGAGGATTAAAGAGTGAAATTAAAAAAAAAAAAAAAGGAATTATAGACCTACCAGAAGAAACAAGTGGATTTTTCTTTTTATTTATTTATTTTTTAAATTTTTATTTATTTATGATAGTCACAGAGAGAGAGAGAGAGAGGCAGAGACATAGGCAGAGGGAGAAGCAGGCTCCATGCACCGGGAGCCCGAAGCGGGATTCGATCCTGGGTCTCCAGGATCGCGCCCTGGGCCAAAGGCAGGCGCCAAACCGCTGCGCCACCCAGGGATCCCAACAAGTGGATTTTTTAAAAAAAAAAATAATCTCAGAGTTGGGAAGGTCATGCTAGGTATGAAAGCAGAATCCATTAAAATGTTAAATTCAATGACAATGAAAATGTTCTGCATGGCAAAAGCTATCATAGCAAAGTTAGACACAATGACATGGGGGTGATAGTTGCACAACAATGTGACTATACTTGATGCCCCTGAGCTGTACATTTAAAAAATGGTTAAAGTGGTAAATTATATGTGTATTTAATAATAAATACTTACATACATGCATATACATATATATGCACATACTACTGGAAAAATTTTAAAGTTTGTCTATGTTCTAAAAGAGTCTCACACACAGTGTTGTGGGTCCCATCGTTTTTGAGACACTAGTTGCACTTCAGGCTTGAATCAGATTACTTGGGTTACCTAATTCACTGCCTATATGACCTTTTGCAAGTTACCTCACCTTTTAAAGTTTCTATTTCTTCGTATAATGAGGATGCATTTAGCTATCTCATAGTGTTTATTAACCTATTCAGTTGGATAATGTATTGCAGTACTTAGCACAGTACCTGTTATATAATAAATACTAATCGTTATCTATATTTATAAACATTATAACATCCACCTCATATTTTGGATTCTCAAGTAACCAACCACAATCAGCAGTATATTAACCTTGTAAATATGTTTCTGTTTTATTTTATTTTATTTTTTTGTTTCTGTTTTAATTACTGCTATAATTACCCTTAAGAAGGGCAATTTTTATTATTTGATAAACACAATATATTGCAAAAAATGGCTAAATGGTAAATTTTATATTATGTATATTTAACACTAATTTTTTAAAAAAGCTTTAAAAATAAGGCATTCATTGAATTTAGGGCAATCTCTAATTATCTCAGAAAGGACCTGGTACAGATGTTTGTTTGTGGAACTAAATCAATAACACACCCACAAACAAATAGAATGGCAAACTGGAAAAAATGTTTACAACCCATATATTGAAAGGCTAATTTCTCTGATAAATATAAAATTTCTGCAAATCAATGAGAAAAAGCAAACTGACAGAAAAATAAGCAAAGGATATGAACATAGTTTTCAGAAAAGGAAATATTAAAGGCTCTTAAAATATGAAAACATGCTCCACTGGTAGTTTAAAACTATAAGAGTTATAAATTATATACACAACACATAAGTCGAGGCAAAAAAAGTCACAATTTCACTTAGATACAAAGGCGGTCATTTTCCTTCCTTGATAGTTTAAGCTTTGCTTCCCTCTCTGTCCAAGGCTGAGTGATCCCCCCCCCCCCCGCCCCAACTCACCAGCTTCATTGGTGACCAGAGAAGCAAAGAGTTTGCATGTGTGGAAGCCATGACTACCTTTCAAATTCAGTGTAAAATTCCTCTCATCCAAACCAGCTAATCTTTGGCTTAGTGTCACTTTTTTTTCACCCATAGAAATCCCCCAAATCAGCCTCTTAAAGTGAGTACAACCATCTTTCTTGACACATTTCATCCATTTCCACTTTTAATTCCTGCATATTGGCTGATAATCTGAGCCTCCTCAAAATCACCACCTTATCCTCGTTTTTCTTACAGGGTCTCTATTTTCTTAAAAGCTTCAAGCAGAATTTATATGATAAACACAAAATGTCGAACCAGCAGAGAGAGACCGTGTTATGGAATAAATGGCATTAGATTATAGGGCTAAAGCCAACAATGTGGGAAAAATGTTAAATCTCTCCTACAAACACATATATACACATATTGTATTTTATATTATATACTGCAGGCTTACTTTTTGATTTAACAATTCCTCTTCTACAAATTTACTTTTGGGAAATAATTAGATGTATGACTAAAGATATATTCACCAGAATGATCTTTGTGAAGTTACATATTTGATTATAAAAAGAAACAAAAAAGTAAACAACTGAACAACAACTCCTTAGATATATGAATACGGGATTATTTGAATCAACTATAGTATATCCAAGAATTATACAGATTGCAGCCATTAAAACACCCTGGGGTTGCTTCATCTACATTAATAGGAAAAGTTGTCAATAATATTAAAGCAGGCACAGAGCAATGTTTTGGTATGACCCCATTTTTGTAAAAAAATTTTAACAAAAAACCACCACAAAGATATTTCAAATTCGAAAAATAATTATCCTTATAATTCTTTTTTTTTAAATTTTTATTTATTTGGGAGAGAGAGAGCAAGCACAAGTGG